ATCATCGCAAATTTGGTGGATAATATTTTCTCATATCAGTATGGATATGTTTTTATTTCACTGTTCATATATTATTATCCATTTTGTATCGTATATTCTTGAAATCATCTAAAGAAATAGAAACCGTTAATTCGGAATGCAAATTATGTACAAACAAGCACTAATCTTCTCCAGTTGATCTGACTTCTGCAATACCTGTGATTATATGCAGTATAATCTAGGGATTGAAATTTACAAAAAAACATCGATGTTTTTTCGATGTAATATCGCATGGTGACATCGATGTAAAAATGATATATTAAAAATACATCGAAGTTTGAACTTCATCGAATGTTTTTTTACCGATATGGTTACAACTGCAAATGAAGAGAAACAAATTCGTTAGATCCAAAATTTTTATTATTATAAAAATGTCAAGTTAAACAAAATAAAAAAAGAAACACGCATGGATTAACGGGTACAGGTAATTAAAAATGATATTACAAAAATATCGTTTTTTTTTATACTTCTCAAAAATTAAATTTTATTTAAATGGTAGAGCCGTTCTGCAGCTATATTATGGCAGTAGCATGAATGCTGCTGTGTTTCGTAAGGTGAGCGTAGAGAACCAGATAATCCTTTTTACTGGAAACGAGGCATTCCATCATAGTCCTCAGAGGTGGCAACGTATCTGCATTTTGATTCTTAATCGCAGATAGATGTAGATGTCTATGGGCCACAGCATCCACTTACCATCAGGTGGACCGTGTGCTCGTTTGTCACCCTTGTTGTATAAAAAAAAAACAACCTTCAATCGATTTCATTGAGATTTGAACACTTGCGCTGCCTGTCAAAATGTTCTCTCGGATGGAAGATATGTTTTAATCATTGTAAAGTATTTAAAAGCAATTTTATTCAAATTAGAAAATTGTGTCTTATAACCTTTCCATATTTCCAATGAGCTTAAACTTATTGAAGCGTCAGCGATAAATACATTGGTTGAATTCGATGCATCGTTGCTATACATTGATCGTTTTAACAAATCGATGTTTATCATCCATCCCTAGTACAATCAGACTGGTAGTGCCGTTGATGACTTGCTTCGTATAAAGATATGTTCATGATATCTACCTATCCGTTGGAAAATACGTTGTGTTGAAACGGGAAATTAAAATATTATGGGTTGATGTGTAATGATAGTTATTTACTTACGACTTACCGTCTGTTCTAGAATCTAGAATGTAATTTTTATGTTATTAGTGACAAATAAGCTAATATTATATCTTTTATTTTTCCAAGGATTACAAAGATATGTATTATTTTTGAGGCTATTGTCTTACAAATTAATATTTTATTACTAAAGGTATAATTTTGCTGCTTTGAAACTTAATAACTCTCTTGCCATGTAAACCTTTATCAAAAAATAATTAATAGTAACAATCATTAATTTTATTCAAAATTGGCCTTGATTTACAAAGCACTTTTTGAAAGTCGAGTAAACCATGTCATCGCTTTAACAAGAGCTAACTTACTACGAGAGATCTTGTGGTTTCGCATATTTACAAAATATAGTATTTGGACCTATAACAAAGCAGGATAAAATGTCGTCCAGACCGAATTTCGGTCACAGCGGCCGGCGGGCTGGAGATTAGCGTAGACAGGTTATAGTGTTCGAGGTGGTAGTGCACAGGTGCACTCTTGATTCCCTCACTCTTATGGTCCGATGGGACTGTAATCTGACACGACCGGAGAGAGATCTGGCGCAGTACCAACGACTTTACGTGCTTTCCGGTACACGTGGGTGAAATACCCTTTTTACTGGAAAGGAGGCATTCCATCTTAGTCCTCACGGGTGACAACGCCTTTGCATTTTGATTCGTAATTGAGTTTAGATGTAGATGTCTATGGGCCACAGCAATCACTTACCATCAGGTTGACTGTGTGTTCGTTTGTCGCTCTTATCCTTAAAAAAACACCGCCAATTTCTTGACTCCGTGCTGCTATTGAGAAATTCGTGACAGAACAACCTAGTAATTGATTTTGGCCCGATCGGAATTCAAACCTTCGATCTCATGATCAGCAACCACATTTACGATCATAAAACCATCAAAGTAGGGGATACCTGGCAATCCTTATCTTACCTGATGGTAAAGTGGTAATGTAGCTGTAGGTGTGGTAAAGCGTACTGTCATAGCTTGATAAAAGTCACTTTAACAAGAATTATGGCCAAGTACTCAAACGCCACTCAATTTTAAGACGCCGTTAAGTCTCGTGCTGTCTCTATCACTTTAAGTCAAAGTGTGTGTGTGTGTGATTGCGATAGCACGAAGCTTAACGACATCTTGTAATTGATTTATGTTTGAGTATTTAGCCAATGAACTCGCTCTGTTATACTTAAAACCTGGGGCAGAAGTAAACAAGTGGGTGGTACCTTAACGAGACTCCTAGGCATAAATTGAATCAAGACCAACAGACATTAACTAAATGTTTAATTTGAATTTATTTGCATGAAATTACAATATACGATATTTATTACCATAATAAAAAATTAAAAACTTAAATTATCATACAGCCCTACTCCCCGCGGTATAGTGTCACGAACGCTGGCTGCTATTCCTCGCTGAAAGGTTATACTCAGCGTTTGAGGGAGAAAAGAACCAGCCCTAGCCCTATCACTCGCGACTGCAAGTCTCGAAAACATTAATTGCTTCCAGAAATTCAACGCAAGTGGACCCCACGCGCCGATAGTCTACACTACAGCAAATGGCACATATATGTAGTCATCTCTCCACAATACCCACAAACTCACTAGCCACATACTCAATTCAACCGCCTCTGATGCCGACCTGGCTCTAATCGAGGTACCACTGTGAGGAAAGGTTGTCAAAGTGTCTAATCACGTAGCATCACATAATAAGGTTTAAGCTAGGGCTCTCTCCTAAGGGGATCAGATTTATTGCATCGGGTCTCCTGCTACGAGTATCATCTCTAAATAGTCCACAAACCTCTGAAATCGAGGGAACATGTATATAGATAAGAGCCCTTCGGATAACATCGTTCAGAAAACAGTGATTAAATAACCCACCAGCACCTTTCTTACATGAAAGTCCGTGGATTCTAAATTTGTCGACACTGCTAGCACAAGGGTACTTAAGGGGGCAAATCGCCGCTTGGTTGGCTCGACCAGGGAAGAATTACTATTACTACAACTTTTTGACGGTGACCCTCGTTACTGGTACATAAATATATTTTATTTTATATACCACATCATATTATGTTAGATGTTATATTGAGAAAATTTGCGCAGGACGCAGTCGGAAAAACCTGGAAAAAACCCGCTGTAATTTGATGTTGCAAGAATGTGTCATGTTTCAAAAAATTTGTTATTATATGATTGAAACAGTCTTGCACTCACGTAGTTATAATCATTTATATGTTCACGCGGTGCAAAGGGGATGTGGTAATGGATGATTTGTTGTAGTTATTAACAGTGGCGGATTATCCCTAAGGCAAACTAGGCAAGTGCCTAGGGGCGCAAGGTTAAATGGGGGCGCGGGGTGAATTCGTCTACTTGATTACTCCTACATCGCCATCACTCTCTTATCATATTTTTCATTCACTCCCACTTGTTAAGGGTAGACGTGTCATTATTAAGTGGCGAAGCTTGCGAAGTCACTTATTGATTTCACGATGTCTGTCCGTCTGTCCGTCTGTCCCACGATTATCTCGAGAACGGTTTTGAATTTTCAAATTTTGTTTTCAGCATTCGATTACTGATCACCCAGGCATCTGAACCTCCAATTTTGAAACTGATTGCTCAACGGCAACCGTTAGAAACCGCTACAAAGCTGATTGCTTCGCCACTTTGCTATGCTGTTAGCTTGCTAGGTTTATTGGAAGTAAAGACTAGAAATGAGTTGGTAGAGTAGTATCATGTAGTAGTATCATGTAGAGGATGTCAGGGGTCGGTCTGGGAACGGGTTATGGTTGAATAGGGGCAATAAGTTCTTATTTACACTCCTAGGGGGTCAAAATGGCCAATAACCAAAAAATTTAAAATTCTTATTTCGGCTATAACTCCGCCTTCTTCGGGGGTTTTTACACAGTCTTTACTTCCCGCATCCCACTTGTTATTTTGCAACTTTTATGTTACTATTAAAATATATATTTTTTTTACGTGGTAGAGCCATCCTTCAGCTATATTAGTAGTATAGTTGTAGCACAAATGGGTCGGCTCGACCGGGGAAGGACCACGCTCTCACAGAATACCAGCGTGAAATAGCAGCTTAATGCTTCTGTGTTTCGTATGGTGAGTGTAGAGAACCGGAGGCCTATTTTACTGAAAAAGAGGCATTCTATCTTAGTCCTCACGGCTGACGACGCATCTGCATTTTAATTCGCAAACGAAAATAGATGTAGGTGTCTATGGGCCACAGCAACCACTTACCATCAGGTGGACTATGTGCTCGTTTGTCACCCAAATTCTTTAAAAAAAAAAGGTTGTGGACATTAATAACTTATTCACGTCCCTAACCTAATTTTCTGCACGGGGCACACTGCTTAATCTGGCTCTTGCAATTGACAAATTGAGCTTATATATACGTTTGAAAATGCGAACCCAAATCCTATAGACTGATGACGGGAGGCAGCAATACCGGTGCAAGGGTTTAGTGTGTTCTTAGACTGTATTTTATAGTGGACGAGGTGATACCCGCGGCTTGGTTCGCGTTGCTTGTATATATTAACAAAGAAAACACACATCACTGAACACGTAATGCTTATAAAAATCGTTGTTTCTTAAAAGTTTAATAACTTTATATTAAATGAAGATATCGCAATAATTTCGTATTTAGATTAGGCAAGGGCCAAGTGTCTAAGAAATAATACTTAGAAAATCTAATTGGAATCTATCCAGTAGTTTTTTCCGTGATGCGCGCACTCCAAACTTCTATAATTTTATTTAAATAGATTAAGAAATTATGCTAAGGAAGGAGATATATAATTTCCCATTATTATTTCAGGTCCAACAAGCCGGGGCGGGCGGAAGCTGGACGAGACCCGTGACAAATACAGCAAGGCTTGCAGAAGGTTGCATCGGGCGCACAATGAGTACGTGCTTCTGTTGGCGGAGGCCACGGAGTGCGAGAGGGCACTAAGGACCGCCGCTCTTCCCTCTTTATTGGATCAGCAGAAACGGCAGGGTGAAGCTACCGCTGCTTCGTGGTAAGTCATGTTGTATTAACTTAACTGTCATAAAAAATATGAGTGACGTCGATGCTAACCAAAAGAACTCTTATTCGGTGGGATATTGTTGTGGAGTCCGAAAGTGTGACCGTTAGTGATCGCTTTCCTGAGATTTTCTATACATATAAATAAAATAGAAGTGTCTATCTGTAATATTAAAATAACAGGCTTCTATTAAGCTCAAGCATCTGTCTGTCCGGGCTATTCTTTGGAATGAATGGATGGTGATGAAACTTTACGAACAGACATATATTACTTTAAATATTACTTTAAATGTTCCATTTGCAAATAAGAGAAAACGCAAACTGCTTTACATAAACAGAGCTCATAGAAACTATAGACGTAATTCTTTCATGTTTAGAACTGCTAAAGAGCAATGGCAGAAAAATAGTTGACAAAAATTATCGCGTCTAGAAATAAGTTATATATAAAATGAGTTTTATTATTTTTCTATGATTTTTCAAATGAAATGTATTTTAATTAAAGCCACAGAAAAAAAACAAACATTTTTGGGAATATCAAATGACTTAAATCATTTTACTCTGTTCAAGTTTTGCCATTTAGTATATTCATACTATTTACGTTTATACTTTGTAAGACTATCAACACAACAACAACAAATATTTTTATATTAAGTTATTATTAGTAATAACTGTACTATCAGTAATAATAAAAATAAAAAAGATATGGCTGAGAATAAGTCTCTTACAAATAATTTCCTACAATAACACATTATCTCAATCATAGTACTGTGTAACAATTCTATTTAATGTTATGCCAACACTAGCTAAAACAAAATGTCACTGTTTTTTTACTGGCTTGACGGCTCTGCGTTCTAGCTCTTCTGAGAATGTCACTATGATACAAAGGCATACATACAGAAATATACATTTATAGTATGCAAATATATAATAGAGATACAATAATCTAAAAACTCTCAATTATGTATTAAGCTAACATTAAACAATCACAGGAAGCATGACTTTTTCCAAGTGACATAGGACATAACTTAAAAAGGTTCAAATGTAAAAATCTTTTTTTTGACGCCTTCTCATTACAAAATTCTTTGACAGAGTTATTAAGGGACTGACGCTTAACATTTTAAGATATTTTTGATATATAGACGCTACCATTTCTTCTCAACTAATATTATGTATGAAAGTCTGCCATTGCTCTTTACAAACTCGCTTAACTTTGATATTGATCCATTTAATACTTCCATGAGTGTCGCCAAGAGTACCTTAACCAATGAATATTTTGCTTAAATTTTTATATTAATTCTTAAAATATTCATAATACACATAGCTTTTTAACTTTAAGGTACTTTTTTGTACCTATTGTTAACTAGTTTATTTGTCTTTGAACTGTCGCGTTGTGTGTCGAACTGTGTGTTTTGCTTATACTTTTTATTTTTAATTCTAAAAGTGGAATCTTGTAAATGACTTAATAGTATATTATTAGATATATTTTTATTTAATTATAAGAAATTGCTGTAAGTTTTCCGAATAAAATAAAATAAATAATAAAATATAGCAATGCCGGTAGGGATTTAGGCTATGTTTTATTCGAAAAACTTGAAGTTTTTTTTTTATTATAATAAAAAAGCAATATATTTATGAAATAATGGTATTTGATTATCTTAAATCTAAATAATACCACATTAATAGATCCAACAGTTGGATTTACATTATCGTCACGCTTGGGTAGGGTTACCAGATCCCACAATGAGTTTTCCTGGCAATATACCTGACTTCAATAAATTACCTGACATTTACGCAGAGGCAGCAAATAGTTCGAGAGTTGCTAGATATTTTTGGGTAGCTATTTGACAAGTTTTCAGCGCGCCTCAAATACCTACCTAAAAATATATTTCTTATAGGATTGGCTGACAATATTTATAAAATTTTAACAAAATATTTTATTTAGAAATTCCTGACAATTTCAAATTTTTCCTGTTTCCGTGACAGAGAGCTAAAATTCCGGACATGTCAGGAAAATTCCTATCATCTGGTAACCCTACGCTTGGGCACCTCGCATCCTTGACGCTGCTCTCCTTCGCCAGCTTGGATATTCATCTGGCGTAAACGAGATGGTTATATATACCTTTTGCAAGCCTTAAGATATTTCTGATATTTTTGTCCTATTATTTTTCTACTAAAGGTAAACGCCTTTTTTAAAAATATGGGATGAAATGAGGTGATGCATTCTTTTACGCTCCCACTACACAGTATAGATAGAACTTACGATGCTGTTAATCTAAAAATGAAAAGAGTTATTTTTAGTTCATCATCGTCATCATTTGATTATAGCCAAAAATTTAAATATCCAAGTTATTGGGATAATTCTATTGTTTTCTCGTCTGGTTGTGATGCATAAATACCTATATATACCCCGTCCCCGGTTATAATTAATGTATGATCATTTACTGAATAAACTATTTTATTTTTTATTTTTTTATATATAAATATTAATCATATACTTACATGGATACGATAGAACAAAATATTATGTAATTTTATTTATGCATATAATAAAAATAAAAATTGCAGGATTATTATAATGTTTGTTTATTTTTGTGACAAAATGATAGAAAGGGACTAAAAGTAAATGCAACAAGCAGCAGTAATACAACAAAACGTAATTCATTATTTTTATGTTATCAAAATCGTAACTTGAAGATTGTGATGTGAAGATTGTGTTGATGTTATTAATATGATATTTTGAAGTTTTTATTAATCTTAAAATAGTTGAGGATTTATAATTTAATCTGATCATAAATCACATGGTAAGGTAGTGTATAATTTTATTACGAAATAAATAAATAATTATGAATCACGCACGTAAATGTAAATGTGAATATCTATAACTCGAAAATGGCTCGACGGATTTTTGATTTTTTTGTATGTTTGAGTGGGTCCCTGGTTGGTTTAGATTCACCATTGGACTCGGTAGGTGCCGATATCCAGAAATCACCCGTGCGAAGACGGGGCGGATCGCTAGTAATTAAAGAAATACATAAAAACACGAAAGCTCTTGGCCGGGGAGCCCAGACGACCGAGAGTTAGGGGTAAAGAAAAAAAACCAGCAGGCGATGCGGGTGGTATCGAGGTATCGAGGAGCACCGCCGCCTGCATTTGAGCCCGGAGCTTTCCGACACGGAGTTCCAGTCGTCTCAGATGACTCGAGAACGAGAAGCTGACCGGGTTAACCCGTATACAGAGACGACTACTGGAATAATTTCGACTTACTGCTCCATATGGCGGTCACCTCGTGAGCCAGGTCCAGATATTTTGTTTTCTTTTCTTTTCGCCTTTCACGATGTTCCAAAAATATCTTTGACTGTTCCGGTCAGCATATATATATATATATTATATAAGAGATTTCCACCTATGTACTGACTTATCACGATATCTCTGGAATCATAAGGCCTAGAGACTTGAAATTTGGTTGGAATATTTTTTTCACCGAGTAGAGGTCAGCTAAGAACGGATTTGACGATTCCACCCACAGGGGGGTTTCGGGGGCGTTAATTAAAAAAAAATCACAATTTCAAACTATACCTCTTATAGGTATTAAACTTGGCCAGAATATTCTTATTGGCATGTTAAAAATTACCAAGAACGGATTTTATGAAATTCTACCCATAAAGGGTTTAAATGTCGCTTCCCGCCGTCTGTACGCTTAGACCTTTTAAACTAGTACGTAACAGATTTTGATGAGGTTTTCATCAATAGACAGAATGATTCAAGAGGAAGATATATATGTAAAATAATGTACATAATCCTTCTGTTCGTATGTATGTAACTGAATTCCACCAAAACGGCTAGACCGATTTTGATGAAATAATATTGCGTGTGTGTGTGTGATTACGTTGATTCGACGGTTTAGATTCACAATAGACCCGGTAGGTGGCGCTGTTGACGTGATCCAGAAATCATTCGTGCGAAGCCGGGGCGGATCGCTAGTTAATAATATTAATCATGTGAATATTTAAAGTTTCCTTCGTTTCAAGTCTATCTAAAACAATCTAGCAATATTGTTGTCTACCTAGCGATTTGTTTCAATAAATTAGACAAACAATTACAATTATAAATATTTATTACTGTCAAGAAAAGGTTAGATATAAGTTGAAGTTTGATACATCTTAACGTATGTATTGGGTCCATCCATCCATCCATTACAACCTGTAAAAGTCCAGTGCTGAACATAGGCCTCCCTCATAGATTACCTCATGGGAGGATTTTGCCATAGTTGCCACGCTTGGCAAGGAGGTTGGCAACCGCAGTTTTTTTTAATTATTTTGAGTTATTATTAGCAAGCTGCTTCATTTTCTTTCTGTCGTGGATATTCTTAAACCGCCATTACACGGCTATTACTTATTGTATGTATTATGTAACAACCAATTATTTCTTTCGACATAAATGAATAAATTCTATATTTAAATAGTAATTTTTTTTAGCAGTCTTTTTTGTCAGTTCTTTGCAGTCCACCAAAGACACCAGAGAACAGAAAATATTACGGATTGAAGTCCAAAAAAGACTTCCTCGGTAGTTTTTATTACCTGTATATTATGCTAAATTATGAAACATTTAAATGTGTAAAAACAAAACAAGATGACTCCGAAACCGAAACTGAAATGCTAATGTTACGTTTCCGCGAAATATATATATATATATATTTAATATGATCCTTTGTTAGTCACTGACCACAAGGCGGACGTTAAGTGTCTAGTTGTATCGGAATGTTTGCTCTTGGGACGTATTAATATTATACAAATGAATAAAACAAACATTTTATATGCAAATGAAGTTTTTCCCCAACAACAAAGTTTAACTTAATGGGAATTATAAGAAATAAATTAATGTCCAATGCGACCTTCTTCGATTAATTAATTTCATAATTAATCTAAATCTTTTTGTTTAATGAATATGAATTGTTATGTAAATTGAAATAAACTACCGTCTACCGTATATTTTTTTCTGGAGCGACGACGTCTGACTTGTAGTGCTTTGTATTTTATTATGTTAAAATTGCTAATGATTTGCGTTGAATAACATGACCAGGTTATAATGGTAGATTGTATAATAATTTGAATTCATAAGCACATTTATTCATTTCATTTTCATCTCATGGATGCGCAAATTAACAATTTGAATATAGAACAAAATAATATTATGAAAATATGCTCTATTTTTTAATTACGGTAAGTATAATACATTTAGATTTAAGGAATCTGACAATAAATGCTAAAGTTGTTAATTCATGTTGTCTTTCGTCTTTTGCACGCCTTGTTCTCGAAACTAAATGGTAGGGTTAGGAGTTGTCTGGGTTTGAGTTTCACCTTATTTCCCATTTCTGCTGCTAAGTAGCAGTGTACTCACTGCTGTTTCGGCTTGAAGGGTAAGAAAGTATAGTCACAGGCTCTGAAGTATTTCACCTAATTCCTCAGGAATGAATCTTTTATTTTTATTCTTAGTATGAAGCTTGTTTTCAGGTAATCTGTGAGCCGTAGTACGGTAGTAGCCATGTATCAACACGTGGTTTGTTGCTTTTTGCCACTCTACTCGTAATATTGTATGAACATGAAATAAACAATTCGTAAAATTAAAAATTTTGTACAACCGACTTCAATATAAATAGTTGAAGTCTATTAAATACGCATTATTTAGGATAACTCAGAAACTACTGGTCAGATCTTGATTAAATTTATATGGAACTACATGAGAAGCACCAGCTTTCAAATAAAAAGAACCATCTAAATCGGTTCACCTACAAATAAGTTCTGAGGTTAAAAAAATACAGTCGAATTGACAACCTTCTCCTTTTTTGGAGTCGGTTGAAAATCGAGGGCTAGTCTAATGCTTCATTATGGATAGGCGGCCAAAACGCTCCTAGCTTCCTATCCTTTCTACATAATTATATCCATTTATGTGAGGGGTTTAAGAAAATAAGTAATCATAATTTAATCTATTAATTTGTTTGACATTGACTTAGCTTTTTTTACTGAGTCATCATCGGATAAATGTTCTCGAAACACAAAATTAATAGCAATATATTATTTCTTTACCGTGAGTGTTGTAAAAAGTGACAGAGGCAGATATAATTGAAAATTAAAAATTTTGTACAGCGCACTTCAATATGAGTTATTAGGAATAACTCAAAAACTATTGGTCTGACCTTGATCAAATTCATATGGGACCACACGAGAAGTACCAGCTTTCAAATAAAAAAAAGAATCATCCAAATCGGTTCACCCAGTAACAAGTTATGAGGTAACACACATAAAAAAAAAAACATACAGTCGAATTGAGTACCGTCTCCTTTTTGGAAGTCGGCAGAAAACAGATTGGCAGCAGCATCTTTCTGAGAACATTTAACAATTAAAAAAATTGCGGCTGCGTTTGTCAACCCGCCTGCTAAGCGTTTAGCGGAGGACAGTAAAGGCCTGATAAAAAATTTGATCCCTCTAACTTATTCGAAAGTGGCTATCATGGTTCAATGAGGTCGGCAGCATGATGAGGGAACTGAAGTTTTCAGTTAAACCCCGGCGCATGTGACCGCTTTTGTTTTCAAACAACAGGCTTCGTTGTCGAAATTGGCTACGTTATTATCTTTATTTGCCGAATATTCTAGAATCTTTTTTTAAAATATTTGCACTGTATATTTTATAAGTTACCTATCGATTATTCTTTTAAACAGGAAGGCGATATTACTGGAGGTGGTGCAAAGGTCGGACTTTAGCACGGACAAATTTAGAGAGATACAGGGCAGAGTAGAGTGCACCATTCAGAACCTGAAACCTCAAGATGAATACAAAGAGTTCATGGAGAAATACAAGTAAGGAAATTGGTCCATTTACTTTTAATGTAATGTTTTACTAATCGGCACTGTAAAAGTGATTTTTTTTTTACAAAACTGAAGTGACAAACGGACTTACAAACCAACTTATAGTAAGTGGCTACTACAGTCTATATCATACACTATGTACTATGTAATATATACATACACTATGTACACAATATGTAATATACATATAGATGGAATGCTGAACTTACAATGTTACAGTTTCCGTTATATTTGAATGTAAAGTATTCAGTAAGAAATGATTACCAGTATTTTAGATATTATACTAGACAGCTTCAGTACTCAAGCTTCAGTACTCGAGCAACCCAGGTTCGATCCCCGCCGGCACCAATGAAATTGTTAATTGCAATTTTAAGTGCTGCTTTACCACGTGCTCAGCGGTGAAGGAAAACATCGTGAGGAAACCTGCATGTCTGAGAAATAAGAAAAAAAATATTTCGAAGACATGTGAAGTTCGCCAACACGCATTGCGGCAGCGCGGCGGACATTTCCTTGCCCTAAACCTATCTCAGAAATGAGAGGAGGCCTGTGCCCAGTAGTGGGACGTAAATAGGCTGCAACTTTACTCGAGTTCTTAATTTAATTTAATTTCTTCCCCAAAATCACACGGCCTCATAATCTGCCACACGGGGCCATGCATGCACAGAATGCATCAGGCGGACTGTGTGCTCGTTTTGTGAACCTCACTCTATAAAGAAGTGGTAAAATTAAAAGTTCGAAGTTAATTAAATACGCATTATTAAGGATAACGCAAAAACTACTGGTCAGATCTTGATCAAATTTATATGGGACCACATGAGAAACACCAGCTTTCAAATAAGAATCATCAAAATCGATTTACCTAGGAAAAAGTTTTGAGATAACACACATAAAAAAGTACAGTTGAATTGAGAACCTCCTCCTTTTTTGAAGTTGGTTAAAAAAAGAGTTAAGGCAGACAAATAGCAATAAAAAAATAGCACAATTTTTTTTTTCAATTTTACAAATCTGAAAACACTATCCTTGATACAGTGTATTCCATTACTTGAACTATTGTGCAAATTTATTATAATAAACAACTTATAACAGGATGTGGTTCGCCTATTTCCTATCAACCACAAGCCATTGTTGTCATCATGCCGAGACTTTGTTGTGTCATGTGAGTTCATGTAAAGTAACAACGATGAGTCGAAATAACTTTAGTTCTGAATCTGAATGTAATGTACCTAATGTTACATGCTTTATACTTTCCATTGCTGGATACAGGTCTCTTCTCATTTCCGATAGCGTTATGGAGCAATTAGGCGGACCACGCTTGGAACCATTCTTAGACATGCAGGTTTCCTCACGATGCTTACCTTCATCGCACTTGGTAACTCAGCAGAATCAATGTCATCGGTTCTGGCGGGAATTGAACCCTGGTTGCTAATCTTTTCAATTCAAAATGCGTGGTAATGCATTATTTTAACCTCACCCGAAATCAATCGCTGAGTACCTATAGGCGAGAGATAGAATTTCTCGCAACGATGCAGAATTGTGTGTATTTAAACCTTCATCGCACTTTGTAACTCAGCAGAATCAATGTCATCGGTTCTGGCGGGAATTGAACCCGGGTTGCTAATTTTTTCAATTCAAAATGCGTGGTAATGCATTATTTTAACCTCACCTGAAATCAATCGCTGAGTACCTATAGGCGAGAGATAGAATTTCCCGCAACGATGCAGAATTGTGTGTATTTAAATATTATTTTTATTTCAGATCCCCTCCATCAACGCCCATAACGTTTACATTCGACGAGAGCTTAGTGGAAGACACGAGTGGTAAATTACAACCTAACCAGCTAACGGTGGATAACCTCACGGTGGAATGGCTGAAGGAAAAGCTGACGGAGTTGGAATCGACGCTGCAAGATAACAGGGAAAAGCAGACCGCGTTGCACGGACCAGAAATTATAGGCAACGGAGTCTGCAAGAATAACAACACTAGCGTTACCAATGGCGTAAATGGTGTTGATAGGTATGTTGATTTTCTTTTGTAATAATCATAATCATCTTCTTCACGGCCTGTCAAAGTCCAACGCTGAACATGGACTTCCTCATATATGACTTCTGAAGGTGAAGGGGGATATTTGCCGTAGGTCCACGCTTCACAGGCGGGGAGGCAGCCGCAGTTTTTTATTTTCTACTTGGACGTAGTTATACAAAAACGTTTCAACCCACAAGTCATTCAAAAATGAGTTAAATATACAGATCTACTTATTTTGACATCTTCATATGACGTAGTAAAGATAATCATAAGAAGTAGATCCGTATATTTAACTCATTTTTGAATGACTTGTGGGTTGGAAAGTTTTTGTATAACTACGTCCAGTTGATATTAGGAAGACACTGTTGTCTACCACCTGGTTTGTTTCCTTCTGTCGCCTCTTACCTCCGGGACGATATGGAAAAGTGCAATAATATTAGTACAACATTCCGTGACTGGACTCAGTTTTTTCTAGTGAGTTCGGAGTCAGTCTGTATCGCCTCGCGCAGTGAATGACGAAATGCATCTGACATCTGGCAGTATTGACGCTGGTCCCTGTAACCGTACTTGGTATTATATATATTATATATTGGCTTTTTAAAGATAAGTTAACACTTTCGCTGTCCGGTTTTCAGACACAATAGTAAGACAATAGCAATGACCTATATGTAGTGCACGGGACAGCAAAAGGGTTAATATGTGGTGACGAAAGTTCTGACAATTTTTAAAATTAAGATTTGATAGATTTTATTCTTTACATCAGCACAAAGAAATCATTAATCGATATATTCTTGCGCAATACGTATATCAAAACTTACTGTGAAGTAATAATGTCTGTAAAATAATATATTCCCGACACTAGTTATCATTAAGTAGCTTTAAATACATTGACTAAATTAAGCGAGCAATTCTTGTTACCTGAAAGGAGTCTTGTTACTCCAGAAGGAGGGTTATCTTTTTCGAGATAATTATACGTATGTGTTTATACGTTCCTTTGGTTCCTATATTAGCTTATACGGGTTAATAGATTTTAACATATGGGTGTCGTTAGATTCGTCTTAGTTGTGGAAGTGACATAGGATATAAACATTTTCTCTTTTTCAGTAAACTTTTTTACTCAGAGGGGTTTTTTATCGCTTAAACTTGTAAATAATAAATATATTGCATGCCTTAAGCGCGAAGCGCGCAGGTATATTCTGCTAGGGCCTAAAAATTAAGATTCGAACGTTTTGTCGCATGAAATCGTAATTAGCAATCATATTGTGCATATAAATGATATAAAAAGCACATTGTCAGAAAGATAAATGATTTTTGAACTTATTAGTATTTGGTATTGATTTATTGATATATTATATCAATAAATCAATACCAAATTTTATAGATATTTATTGATTTCTCGGAAACTGCTTTATTCTACGATTTGAAGTAAATGTTGATATATATATATATATATATATATATATATATATATATATATATATATATATATATATATATATATGATATGCAGATTGGTGTTGGTGTCATCCCTGAGAAAATCATAATTTTTTTTTCTAACGCCGGGCGAAGAGAGAGCAATATTATGTTTGATATTGCGTGATATGAACTAAGTAAAATCATATTTTTTCTGGATAAACAATGGTATCGTAAGAAATTCACATGGCCATCGGGTTTAGGTAAATGTAGTGTGAGACGTTCTTTCGCTGAATGTAGCTATACAAGCATACTATGATTGTTGACAAAAACCGGTTGCGTGTATGCGAAGAGTGGGTTAATACTAATGAATGAGATATATCGGAGTTCATGGATTATTGACTGATTATTCATTTATTAATTACAGCCTATAAGAAGTCTATTAGTGAATGCCACATAGGGAGATATTTGCTTTAGTCACTATGCTTGGCGGGGGGGGGGGGGGGGCAACCGCTGTTAATCATATTATTATTATGTTGGTATCAAAAAGATGCTGCCGCTCCTCTCTTGTTTCAATTTCCCTGTGTCTGTGGTGGATTCTTTCAGGCCGCTACTACGATTGTCAATTAAAATGATGTCTAAAGTTGAGGAAATTTCCGTGTGAACAGGCACTCGCCGCCGCCTATCCCGGTGACGGCATCGGAGCCGACGAAGCTGCTGGAGCTGCGCGTGGCGGAGCGCAAGTGCGCGCGGCAGGCGGAGCTGATCCGCGCCGCGCTCGCCGAGCTCGGCTGCGAGGAGGCGCCCAGCGGCTGCCCCGACCTCTCCGCCGAGACCGTCGGCGGCGACAGCCTGGACGGCAGCTCGCCCGACCATCAGGTAACCCGCCACCTACCACCACGCGTGCACAACACTCGCACACGCTTACAGATACATTGACATCCGGACGTACATACACACATAAACACATACACAAGCGCATTCGTACACCCGAACACTACGATACGTAAATTTTATGATTGCACTTTTGTGCGGCACAATTTTTAGCAATAATATCTATTTTTAACAAACAATACAAAAAATCCGTCAAAATCGGTCCAACCGTTCAGGAGTTCAGTGATAAACACACGTGTAGAAGAATTATAATATAATTATATATGTTATATATAATGATAATATAACATATTATTTCATCGTCATCATCATAATCATCATCATCATCATCATCATCATCATCACCATCATCATTACAGCCCTTCACAAGTCCTTTGCTGAACATATACCTCTCCCAAGGAACGCCAAAAAGCACGGTCCTGAGCCACCTGCATCCATTGACTTCCCGCATATCTTACCAAGTCTTCACTCCATCTAGTGGGGGCCCTACACTTCGACTAATAACACATTATTTAATAAAATATATTTATTAAAAAAAAATCCATGTCCATATTCTGTAATATTTATTCATTTTAATTAGAAGAATCAAACAAAAATAAACTAATAATGTCTTTAAAGCATTTACGAGAACTGCACATCTTGGTAAGTACGCTTCTAATGAATTAGATTTTTGTAAATTTATTACATTTGAATATAAACAGGACAAAAAATATATTACCCCTGCACAAACAAGGTTATTAGGAAGCATAATTATTAAACCAAATACATTTTCTTTTATGCAATTTTTTAAACATGTTTGTAAAATATAACATTTGAATAAAGTCTACGGCTTATTATTTACTTTATAATTTATAATTTGATAATTGATTATGTTCTTTTATAATTTGAGAGATTTAATTCATTCCGTGTCAGATTTTTTCGAATTTTCTTTGATTACGGTAGTTATTATATAGTTTATAAATTAAAATAACTTCATATTACGAAAGAGCCGTTTAAAATTTTTAAATTAAATACACTAAGTCGCAAAATTGAACCGTCAGGATCGATCACCGATGGGCTCGAAAGCGTCGGTGGAAGCGTTGCGGTTGCACCTCCATTCGATAATACCCCCGAGGCCCTTCTTCAAAATGTTCACGAGGCCTTTCAGACGCAAGTCCGCGCCATCGAGCCCGGCCCTACCGCCAAAAACATACCGGAGTAGCAGCGAAGGGCCCGCAGATACGGTAACGATAGTAAGGACCCTCCGCCACAGACGGATCAGGGTCCTGAAGAAACGCTTGCGAAAACGCGTGGATGTTTATGTGCATTGTCGTGTTCAAAACCATAGCGCGCTCAAGAAGAGAAGGAAGTTGTGTGGTTGCCCTAACAGTGTGGTGAGTGCCATTAACACCGTCGCACGTGTGCATGAGCTTTTTGCAATGAAGGACACTATCAATGACCAATCTGAACACTTCACCGCCGGTTTAATTTTAGCCACCGTGCGTCCTACCACTGCGCGAACCTCGCACTGAAATAAGCTTTCGTTTCAATTTAAAATAGCTCTGGTACGCTCTAAAGCACAAATTCAAAATCAAGGTGAATCTCTTTTGTAGACGCTCGACTGTTTACGCGACTAGACAAACGAAAATTTATAATTCCCTTCTGTTTTATCTATGGTTTTTATAAATGATAGTAAGGTGCAATTTGTAGTGTCATAGAGTAATAATATACTAGAGATAGGGAGTTTTGTGTAATTTTTCTAAATGATGGATCCGTTTTCGATGTATATAACGCAAGCTGATTTAATGCCGCCGATCGTCATTCCACGAAGGAAGAAACGTCTGAAGCAGCTTCAGTTAGAGCTTGAGAAAGAGGACGTATGTTTATGTGTTTTATTAATGAGAGTTTGATGTCAGTATAATTGTAAAGTTTGTAATATGTGCATGAATTAATGATGCTTCTAACTTGTTAAAGTGTGTGCGTGCGTGTAAACTTACACTATAATGCACTCATAAATTGCATAATATATTATACTAGGTATATTTTGAGTATAAATAAATGTTTAGAAATGATAATTATCGTGGCAGTATGAGTTAGACGTTATAACAGTTGTATTTTAAAATATATAGAATGCACTATGTAAGATACTTAATTATTTTTTTAAGTTTGCACACGTTTCGTAATCAAATATAGGCACCGCCTACTTCCAGCATCGTAATTATCCATATATACACACGTGGTATGCTCGAAATACTGTCTTACAACCTGTTATCTGCATTATATTTGGCAAAAATACTTATTTAAGCTAATTAACCACAAAAATATTGATCGTTACATAAAAATTGTAATAAATAGTTTGTCTCATTCTTTTTGAATCATTTAATCTGTAACTGAAAGTCAGACTGAAAGTGCAGCTATAAGAATATTTTTAAAGTGTAATGTAATTTTATTGTTTTTTTTTTTATTGAATAATCACATCATGTTTATTAAAATATTTTTTATTTGATACAAGTCAAGATATTGTATTTTTCGTCTAGTTTGAAAATAAATATTCGGTATCTTCATTTCTTTGCTACCCCAGGGCCTCAAGCTTTAATTCCGGCTCTCTAATCTGGAGAAATTTTCGTTTAGGCTATTATATTTACACAAACTTCGACATTGTAAAATTTGTGTTTAAACTCGAAATGATCTCTGAATACCAGCCCAAGCCACTACGTTACGGGGCCGTAGTTTCATCAGGAGTGCGGTATAATTTTAGGTGAGTGTGAGCGAGGCGGAGCGGTCGCTGGTGGAGCAGGAGTGGTTCCACGGCGTGCTGCCGCGCGAGGAGGTGGTGCGGCTGCTGCGCGCGGACGGCGACTACCTGGTGCGCGAGACCACGCGCAACCACGCGCGCCAGCTCGTGCTCTCCGTCTGCTGGGGCCAGCACAAGCACTTCATCGTGCAGACCACGCCTGAGGTCAGCGAACTCTGAATTCATATACACTATACGTGGTAGAGCCATGCTGCAGCTATATTATGCTTGTAGCACGAATGGGTCGGCTCGACTGGGGAAAGACCACGCTCTCACAGAATAGCAGCGTAAAATAGCAGCTAAACGCTGCTATGTTTCGTATGGTGAGTGCAGTGAACCGGAGACCCTTATTACTGGAAACGAGGCATTCCATCTTAGTCCTCACGGTTGACAACGCGTCTCCATTTTGATTCGTAATACAAGATAGATGTAGATGTCTATGGGCCACAGCAACCACTTACCATCAGGTGGACTGTGTGCTCGTTTGTCACCCGGATCCTATAAAAAAAAATATAATGAAACCTACAACGTCGGGGAAGTGTCTTCGTATTTTATATACAAATTCAAGACTTTTTTTTTCAAAGTTTAATTACATTTAATTATATTATATACTTGCCATTTTGTTCGATAACTTGTTGTCATTTTATAGGTAGTGACATAATTTCGTTGCTGTAGAAATCTTGGGATTTTTGATCAAAAAATGCGACAAATAGTTTTGACAGTCCTCTATTGATGTTAACCTAACATTACCGAAAGAATTCTGAAGAGACCGAAACAGGTGAAAATATGAGGGTGCAAGGTCAGGACTATATAGTGGATGCAGGGCCGGATTAACCTTTAGGCAGAGTAGGCAACTGCCTAGGGGCCCCGCATCGGTTGGGGCCCCGTGCGCGTACAAATATAATGGAAAATATTTCATACAGAGAAAATTTTATGGAGGAAAGTAACCTCAGCGATAATAGGTATTATTACGTTTTAGCGACGCATACTGTCAGTTGATGAAATACTTCATACTTACAGGACAAAACCATCTAGTATCGAGTAGTAGAACTAATAATATGGATACGTTACATCCCTTTATGCTGGCTGCAAAGGGGCCCCGAGAATTCCATTGCCTAAGGGCCCCGACATGGTTAATCCGGCCCTGAGTGGATGCATTAACACTTAACAACCAAGCTCTCTCAATGTTTTCTGAGTGGCCAGAGATGTATGTGGTTTAGCGTTATCGTGATGAAAGACCTCTCCTTTTCTGTTGATCAATTCCGGTCGTTTGTTCTCAATTTCTTGCTTGAGTCTCATTAGTAGTCGGCAGTAGAGATCCGAATCGATGGATTTGCCCGGCGGTAAAACCTCATAATAAAAGATGCCCTTCCAATCCCATAACATCACTTTATTTGTGTTAATCCGAGTTTCGCTACAGTCTGTGTAGCTTGACTACCCTTTGACCATGATCTCAAGTTTTATCACCAGTGATTAATCTTTTCGGTTTCATTACCTTTCAATAGAGAATCGCAAATGATTACACGATTCATTAGGTTTCGTTGAGTGAACTCGTAGGGTACCCAAATATCGAGCTTTTTTGTATAGCCAAACTTTTTCAAACGTGTCAAAACTGTTTTGTGGTCAATCCTCAATTCCTCGGCTATGTCGTAACTATTAATATACCGATCTTGCTCCACTTTTTCAAAAATGGCATCGAATTTATCCGTATGAGGGCTCCCAGAGCGAGCTGCATCTTTGACATCAAAACTCCTTTGAGCTTTTAGTAACTTTGTGCTACTCTTACTGACACTACATTAGGTCCACAAACGTTACAATTTTTTTTGTGGCTACAGTCACATTTTTCCCCCCTATTTTGTAATAAAACTTCAGAATGTATAGAATTTCTTCGTTAGATTCACTCATTTTGGCGGACAGAAAAACAATTGATAAATGGCGGGAAAGTGTTTTATTTATTAACTTTTTATTTTTCTTTTTCTTAATGTCCCATTATATGTATTAATATTAAAACCAGCCAGATATAAATAGTACAACTAAAGAGATTTTTCTTTAATTTTATACAAACAGAATACGAAGAAACTTTTCCCTCGATATCATTTTATTTACGTGATAGAGCTACGCTGCAGCTATTTTATAGCTGCAGCATGAATGTTAACTCGACCGAGGGTCTACGGTTTCATAGAATACTAGCGTGAATAATAAAATAATGCTGCTGTTTCATATTATGTGTGGGAAACTGGAGACTTTATTGGTAACGCGGCATTCCATCTTAGTCCTCGGGGGTGACAACGCATCTGCATGATTCTTATTCGATGGCAGGTATTTGTTGGCCATAGCATCCACGTGCCATCAAGTGAACTGTGGGTTCGTTTGTAACTATTATTCTAAGCTAATCCATCACTCCATTTCGTTCCGTGGGTATGAGGCGACTAAGGTAAAGATGTTGTGGCTTCCGATAGAGGAAATACTTTACCGGTGATAAGAAGCAGCGCTAAATGTGACACGTCGCCACGTTAAGGCAAATCGCGCCTACAAGAAGAGAAGTGTATATTCAGCATTGGAATTTAGCGGGCTGATAATGAAGCAGACGAATCATCAAAAATCATTCAATTATTGTGATAGCCTTGTTCAGTAGTAAGCGGGTTTGTGGCTTGCAATTGAGGTTACCATGTAAGGGAAAGGTTGGTATATTCTCCGTTACACATTCATTCATACAGTTTTTTAAAAGTCCACTGTTGAACATAGGCTTCCCACATAGATTATCTCAAGGGGAACTTTGCCAAAGTTATAACGCTTGACAGACGGCTTAGCAATCGTAGTTTTTAATTATTTCATTTGTTATCAGAAAAGTGCTGCTGGCCATCACGTGTTTCAGTTTCCATTTATCACCTCCTTCGACATCCACGGGATGATATGGAGAAGAGTATATCCTTACTCCGCCACACACGGCAATTTTTCATATATTAGTAACGATAAATTGTAATATACTTCAGGGCCACTACCGTTTCGAGGGCGCTGCTTTCCCGTCTGTAGCAGAGCTGATAGCGTGGCAGCGCGCCAGCGGAGTGCCGGTGACGGCGCGCTCCGGGGCGCTGCTGCGGCGAGCCGTGCCGCGCGAGACCTGGGAGCTTAACAACGATAACGTGCAGCTGCTCGACAAGATCGGACGGGTGAGTGACGTACACGCGCACGCAGACGCACACACACGCACATATACTTGGGAGCTCAACAACGACAACGTGCAGCTGCTCGACAAGATTGGACGGGTGAGTGACGTACACTCGCATGCACATACACACACACGCTCACATATTTGGGAGCTCAACAACGACAACGTACAGCTGCTCGATAAGATCGGACAGGTGAGTGACGGACCCACGCACGCACACGCACACGCACACAGACCTGGGAGGTTGACAAAATAAGACGGGTGAGTGAGTGACTTATACATAACATTGGATATGCATACATTGTGTATGCATACAATGTATTTTTTGTGTATGTAACACATTTACAATGAATTATTATTATTATCGATTCAATATTTTAAATTCAATTTGGTAATTTTGTACTTCTGGCAAGAGTAGTATTAGGCGACCCCCCACTAGATGTTATGACGATGTCATTCGATGAATACGAGTGACTCAGGACCGTACTTTGTGGCAATCTACGAAGAAGGCCTATATTCGTCAGTGGACTTAGTAATGGGCTGTAGTAGTAGTCTAGTAGTAGTAGTGGTAGAGCTACAAATAAAAATGAAAACGGGCTGTAAATTTAGTGATGCAATACTACCTATTTATATTTATAGGGTAACTTCGGCGACGTTTACAAGGCCCGATTGAAGACAACTGGACAAGAGGTAGCAGTGAAGACGTGCCGAGTTGCGTTGCCCGAGGAGCAGAAGCGCACGTTTCTACAAGAGGGCCGCATACTAAAGCAGTACCAACATCCGAATATCGTGCGACTGATTGGCATCGCCGTGCAGAAGCAACCTATTATGATCGTCATGGAACTTGTTCCAGGTATGTTATATTAAACTTTGAGGTTGTGGAGACCAGGCTGCTTTGATTTGTTTAGCGTGGCCTATCATTGATAACGTGATTGAATCATGGTCCCACATTCATTTAAAAACGGGGGACTACTATTTTTGTGTAACTTATGCGCTGGAACTGGAATAAACTTTTTTACTTGTGTAAATTTTGACGAAATGTAAAAGGGATTTAACATATTTCATATTCAGTTTATTCGAATAATGCCGCCCAGACCGAATTTCAGTCACGGCGGTCAGCGTTAACGGAGACTAGCCATCGGCGCAGGACAGAATTATAGTGCCCAAGTGTACGCGCAAGCAGAGATGCACTCTCTATTCCCTCACTCTCATAGTCCGATAGGACGGTAAACCGACACGACCGGGGAGAGATTAGACCATCGGCTTTACGTGTTTTCCGGGACAGGGGGGTGAGACACCGTCAACTTTCTGACTTCGAGCAGCTATTAAGAATTTCTTGACGAAAAAACTCCATAACTTATTTTTTTTGGCTCGACCCATGATTCGTACCCGGGACTTTAAGAACAGCAGCACTAAGACAAATATTAAAATAACGCGGCAGTTAAAATTTATTTTTAGCTTATTCATTCACTGGTTACATGGCATGTAGTATTTTCTCTCTTCCCCATTACAAGCATATTTGTCTAGCAAAAGTAAGCGTGCTACATTATTAGTAAAAAATAAAAACAACTAGGAAATAAAGTATCTAAATAGAAATGTAGGTTGATGAAGAATATAATTCAATACATGCCTTTCATATCAACGAACATTCGAACATTGCTGACGTCCGGGCGCACGCGCGCGTACAATATATTTAATTCTATGGTGAGGCCTACGCTCAGCAGTGAATAAATAGGCTATGATAGTAAATGGTAGCTTCAAGCCTAACGTGCGGTGCAGGCAATTCGCTTCTGACGTTCCTGTGCACGCAATATCTTCTCTATGAGGTAATCTATGGGATGGGTGGGGTTTATGTTCGGCAGTGGACGCTAATAGATTATATATAGCTTAGTGCTCAGAAACTAAGCCTACTATTATAGGCTTAGTTTCTGAGCACTAAGCTCTGCGAGCGATGAATCGCCGAGTGACCGTGGGTGCGTGTGTGCGTGGGTGCGCAGGCGGGTCGCTGCTGACGTTCCTGCGCACGCGCGCGGGCGCGCTGGGCCCGCGGCCGCTGCTGGCCATGTGCCGCGACGCGGCGGCCGGCATGCGCTACCTGGAGTCCAAGAACTGCATCCACCGCGACCTGGCCGCGCGCAACTGCCTCGTCGCCGACGACCACACCGTCAAGATCTCCGACTTCGGCATGTCGCGCGAGGAGGAGGAGTACATCGTCTCCGGCGGCATGAAGCAGATACCCATCAAGTGGACCGCGCCTGAGGCGCTCAACTTCGGTTAGTGCTTTTTTTTCATAAAAGAAAACTACAGATAGCAAGAAAAAAAAAACGTTTCTTCACTGGTACTATACATATCACATGAATGAAAATGACAATTAACTATATTTTACTGTTTTTTCATTTAAGACTACAAATTATAGGGTGTGTATTGAGCCACAGAAAAAGCTTATGATTCGGCGTAATACTGCAGGGTAACCTGCAATGCTGAGGATTATCATATACGTGTACGATTCGCCTGATTGTGCTTTTGTAATATATTTTATATTTAATGAGTTCTTATATTTACGCGAACACTACACATTTAAATAAAACTAATTTTACGGAATTTATCGCGTATATTTATTTATCTTATATTCCCGACGTTTCGAGCACTTTCCAGCACCCATGGTCACGGGGGGGACTGAGGTGTATGACGTCCCAATGCCATAATTAACCACGGCTACCTAAAGATTAAAAATTATTAATTTTTGTTCCGATCTACGCAGTATGAACTTACAGTATCATGAAGTCTTGCAGTGGTATGCTTGGGTTGGGATTTAATTTTATTAATTATGGGATTCCAAGCAGATGGTAGCACCCAGCCATCTTCTCTATTGAAATTAGGATCTTTTTTTATTTCAATAGCCTCGCGAATCATCCTTGGAAGGAATCGGTGTTCTTTAGCGTGGATTTGTGGTCTATCGAATCTAATGTAGTGACGGGGGCGATCCTGTACGTGTTCACAGACTACAGACTTCCCGGAGCGTCGATTCTTCACATCAGCTATGTGTTCTTTAACGCGGGTTTTTATGGATCTTTTAGTTTATCCTATATAAGAGAGACCACATTCATAATCAAGCTTATACACTCCTGCATCTTGCATAGGAATATTACACTTGACTGATGGTAAAAACTGACTAATCTTCTTCGCCGGCTTGAAGTATGTTTTAATGGAAGCACGCTTCAAGATGTAGCCAAACTTGTCAGTGACACCTCTGACATATGGCAGTACAGCAGGCACTCGCTCGACTGTGGCCGGCTTCACTCGTTCACTGTGACGTAGGCGCGGGACCCGAAGCTTATTGTCGTGCAAAACTTGCTTGACGTGTTGGAGCTCGGCGGCCAGGTGTTTACTGTCACAGATCCCTCGTGCTCTCTGAAACAAAGATTTACCCACGGTAGCTAACTGTGAAGGATGGTGGTGAGAATTACCGTTTAAATATCTATCTGTATGGGTCTTTTTTCTATACACAGTGTGGCTCAAGGTGTTATCAGGATTCCGAATTACTAACACATCTAGAAAAGCTAAAGAATTGTTTGCTTCTAACTCCATAGTGACCTGAATTTTAGAATTTAAGGAGTTAAGTAACCCACGTTAAAGAACACATAGCTGATGTGAAGAATCGACGCTCCGGGAAGTCTGCAGTCTGTGAACACGTACAGGATCTCCCCCGTCACTACATTAGATTTGATAGACCACAAATCCTCGCTAAAGAACACCGATTCCTTCCAAGGATGATTCGCGAGGCTATTGAAATATAAAAAAGATCCTAATTTCAATAGAGAAGATGGCTGGGTGCTACCATCTGCTTGGAATCCCATAATTAATAAAATTAAATCCCAACCCAAGCATACAACTGCAAGACTTCATGATACTGTAAGTTCATACTGCGTAGATCGGAACAAAAATTAATAATTTTTAATCTGGAGGTAGCCGTGGTTAACTATGACATTGGGACGTCACACACCTCAGTCCCCCCGTGACCATGGGTGCTGGAAAGTGCTCGAAACGTCGGGAATATAAGATAAATTAGTATACGCGATAAATTCCGTAAAATTAGTTTTATTTAAATACTTTATATTTACTTTTATAAATTAAATATTTTAGTACCTCAGTACTGCAGCGTATATACACACACGCACGCACGCACGCACGCGCACGCACACACGCACGCACACATACGACACATTACACATATACATTCTATGTCTATCATTCTACAGCCGGTACACTTTATAACTAAACAATAACAGCAAACATATACTGCGCAACGATACTACAATTAACTAACCGATAAATCGCGTGAAAGATTGTTTACAATACCCACCCCGCACCCTTGTACTTTACTAAAGAAAGTTATAAGCGAGCTATATGTGCTCACGAATCGTGTCGTTATGTAACTGTACTAATCTAGCTTTAGATTAGAATTAGCTTTGGAATTAAGATGACAAACTAGCACACAGTCAGTGGCGGATTATCCTTAAGGCAAACTAGGGGCTCAAGGTTAAAAAGAGGCGCGCGTGGAAGTATTTAAACATTTAAAAATTCGTTTACTTGATTACTCCATCATCACCTTCACTCTCATCATCACAGGTTTCATTTACACACACCTGTTAACAGTACACGTGTCTTAATTATTTCGCAACTATAATATAATTTAAATCATAAATTATAATTCATGGCCGCCAGGGGGCGCCCATGAGCTGCTAGCCTAAAACGCTGTCGACATTTAATCCGCCTCTACATACAGTCCACCAGTGGAAGTTGTGTTCAAAAACAATACATCTATTTTTGATTAAAAATGCAGATGCATTATTACACCTTAGAACTAAAATGGAATTAATTCCAGTAACAAGGGTCTCCGATTCTCTACACGGACCATACGATAAACAACAGCATTAAGCTTCTATTTTGCGCCGGTATTTAGTATATAGTTTTAAATTCCTTTTTAATTGTATATATTAATTCGCTCGCTTTGTTTTCAGGCAAATACACATCCCTTTGCGATGTCTGGAGTTACGGCGTGCTGATGTGGGAGATATTCTCTAAAGGCGACACTCCGTACGCGGGAATGAGCAATTCTCGCGCGAGAGAAAAGATTGATACCGGTATGTCATGTTTATATATTTTATAAGTTACATTTATATATGTACCTATCTAGTGAATTGCCAATTAATTCTCCAATTTAAGGAACATCATTTTCTAACGGTAGTAAATTATAAAAAGAAGTATTAGATGGAAATTTGTTTCGTCGAATAATAAAGTGATTTCATTTCGTATCAAATGTTAACGACGTAAGTGATTAACTCTCTTTCGTCATTAACAACTGAATACAGACCTCTTGAACATCATCATCATCATTGTTACAAACCTTCTCAAGTCGATTACTGAACGTAGGCCTCACCCAAGGAACACCAACAAGCACGTTACTAAGCCACCTGCATTCATCGACTTCCTGTATCTTTTACCAGGTCGTCACTCCATCTAGTTGGGGGCCGCCATACACATATCTTTCTACACTATCGGTTGTCGGTTCTTCGAGCTATATAGCCGAACCATTGCCACTTCAGCTTGATTATCCCTTGAGTTATATCGGTTTCTCTGGTTCCACTGAGAATATGCTCGTTACAAAGTCTACAGCGCAGATTAACTCCGAGCATACCTCTCTACATAGCTCGCTAAACGACCTTGATCTTCCTCATACGCCCAGCAGTGACGGACCATGTCTCTGATTCACATGCCGGCCCTGGCCACACGTACTGGTTGTGCTTTTGTTTTCTAGTTTTGAGGTACACGTGACAAGATGTTCTGTAATCTCCCGAACGCTGCCTAGATTAGCTTAACTTGGATCCGTCGATTGACCTTTTGAACATAGATGTTCTTAATGACCTACATCACACCGCCCTGAACTGCGCTTTTGGAAGACGTACTGTAGGGATAAAGGGTTATCTCTAAATGGGGAGAATTGACATCATTTACCACGCTTGTCGGTTAGATTAGCGATGCCCAAAATTGTGACCCCTACCCATTTCTGAGGTTAGGTCAGCCATTAATTTTAAGCTTTAAACTACTATTTGACTTTGGTATTATGTGAAAGCGTATTCCTTCTCCGGTCGACCGACCGACCGACCGACAGACCTACGTAACTTAGTTACAACCTCTCTCTACCACATTGCAATTGCCTTACACTTACTTTACATGCTTGCTTAGCTTGCATATTATTTTAATTATAAGTGGCAATTACCCATAGGAAGATATACTTTAGACTGACCTTATTATACAAAATAAATGATTTATATTAATATACAAATTTTACTACTATTAATTTTACTCAATGCAGGTTATCGTATGCCGGCGCCAGAAGGCTGTTCCGAGGAAGTGTACGCTTTGATGCTACGTTGTTGGGAGTACGAAGCCGAGAAACGGCCTCATTTCCACCAAATATACACAATCATCGACAACATATACAATAGGTAACGACAATCTACGTCCAAAGGTTATTGAACGCGACGTGACGGGACATTGAGCTCATGGCGTGACGTCGATAAACACAATCTGTTTAACGGATCAATTGATTATTAGTAGTGTCACGTCGTTTGATTATACTATGTATATGTTGGTCACATTTATTTTAATGTGACTAAATCGTGATTGAACGTTTTTGTAACAATGCTATATGTAGCCGACAATTAAATATTTAATTATTTAGGGAGATGGACTGGAAGATGTTATTTTCATTCAAATTTTGTAATCAAAATGCGAAATTAGTATAACAGCGCAGAGTTTTAACGTTTATGCTGTAAAGGGAAACGAGCGAAAATGATTTATTTTTACTATTTTATAACATGGCATCTATTTGATAGAGATTGAATAGGTTTTTTGTAAACATGCTAAACACGACATATCATTCTTCCATAAGTAGGTTAAGTAATAGTATACTCATGTAGACACGCCGGCGAAACGTTACAAGAAAACGTGACTCTTTTGAATAATATCACACTAATTTTCTGCACTACATCTCAATATAAAAAATACTATAAAGAAGTTTCAATTCAATAATATGAAACCATAGGAACATAAATATGCATTAAAATTTAAAACGTGCATCAATGTCCGGTACACTCCCTATAAATAATTAAATATCTTTGCGTACAATGAAGTGAAGAAGAAACTAATTATTCGATAGCCGCATAAGAAAGGCAATTACGAATATATTTAAATATCGATTTATTAATAATATGTAGTAATATGGAATGCTATGTGAATGATTAAAACCTGATGATATTATTATGTAACAACATTATATGAGCTTTAGAAAATGTAAATTTGTTTTTAATTTCGAAATTAATTGTGTAATTATGTAATTTTATAAAATTGAGTGACGTTTCGTTAAATATTGTCCACTATATTTAATACTTTTTTTATTTTACGTTTCCATTTAAAGTTTAACCAAAAGTAAAAGGTTTCGAATAATTTTTGTGTATTATAGTTACTAGGTTATTATTAATCCTGTATTATTTGTGGGCTTTATTTTATAATGGACAAATGTTAAAAGGGAACAAACAGTGGATCTTGATATAAAATAGTCATTACCGCTGAGCGGAACCAATTAATCAGTATTTTTAAGTTGTATTATCAGAAACCTAGGCCTCCATGACCCGAATTTATTATTCGTTAGTTGTTTATGTATGTGCTTCTGTGTGTTTTAAAGGGAGAAATATTCTTATCTGATTGAGCTAAGGAATATGGCAATTGTTATCACGAAAAGTGTTATTTTACTGAAAAACTATATTAGCACAGCTTCCACTATAGATTTTTTGACAACAATATTTGCGAAAATCATCTTTTTATCGTATAAGTTGGTGATTAAGAAACTGTGCAATTGAATGACATGTAAAATGCTATGTGTGTGTTGAGGAGAAGTTTTGTAATAGTTATAGAAATTTGTTTGTGTGAATTTACAATGCTATAAACAAACTTTAAATCAAAAATTCCATTGTAATTGTAATCTTATTATAGTTTATTTTTGTACTAGATATAAGCTGATTTATTAGATTTAATTTTTGTTTATATCTTTACGATTAATATGTATTATACTTAATTGAAAAAAGGAGTGTATTTGTATTAATTTTTATTAAACGTCCATAAAAACTGTTTCAAACTTTTTATAGTACAGTAAAATAAAACACCAACGTTTTTCAAAACAATTCATGACAGTTTTCGTTTACATAAGAGTCTTATTCACGTTCCATCTTGCTGTACGTCCCGCCAAGGTCAGCACTGAAAGTACAGCAAGATGGACCGTGAACAAGGCGCTTTAAATAGTTTTCAAGTGTGTAACAAGGTTAATAAGAAGGTTTATAATACACAGATAATTTTTGTTTTGTTAACACTATTTTTACCTTAGCTTACATGAAAATATAAAGTGTTTTACTACGTACCAAGAGCTTCCGTAGGTTTTATAAGAAACTTGTAAAAATATTTTATGTTTAGATTTAAATTAACTGTATGTAGTAAGTCGTGATATGAATAAATAACGTGCTTCCATTTTAATATTTACACATCTATACTTAAAATATATATTATGTAATTTGACTTGCCTAGTTAGCGCGCGTTATTTAGGACAATATTGTAATCCATAGTATAAAATCATGTTACTCAAAGTGAGATAGTTGATGTAGTACTATTTTATGTTTTTTATTATTTTAGATAAAAGTATAATGCGAATGTAAATATTTTCATACATAATAAAAGTGCCAGATAATTTGGTTTTAAATATTTCGGAAGTTTTACTTGTATGGTTGGCTAACGAATGCTAAAAGTACTAACGGTGTAGTAAGTATTAACGGTGGTAGAGCCCTGCAGCAGTTTTTTGCTGTTGCACGTTTGGGCCGGCTCGAGCCGGGTTGGTACCACGACCTCACAGAATACCGGCGTGAAGTAGAGGCTCTGCTTCTGCGTTTCGTCTGGTGAGTGCAGGTGGCCGGAGGCCCAATTCCCCCCCCCCCCCCCCCATCAACATGGTAGCGGAATTAGACAATAGACTACCCCAGGAGGGTACCAGTACCCCTGGAGAATCCCTCGCTGAGCATCCACGACCATGTTATTCCAATCCTGAGCGTGGGTGCTCAGGCTGCCCCGCGTATTCTGGGGGGGGGCAAAATTCCGCTCAAAAACAAAACTGCTCGGGGCAAGCTGAGCAACAATACCAAGGCGACCCCTGCCACGCTATCCGTGAATTTCTGCAACATCAGGGGACTTCACTGTAACCTAAACGCCGTCCACTACCATCTCGAGACGGCGAAGCCGGCCTTGCTCTTTTTGACCGAGACGCAGGTTTCCTCTCCGACTGATATTTCGTATCTCTCCTACCCGGGGTACAAATTGGAGCACTCCTTTGTGCCTCGGGCTGGAGTTTGCGTGTATGTTAGAGAGGACATCTGTTCTCGACGCCTCGGCAGTCTTGAAGGTTCGGACCTGTCCATCCTTTGGCTACGCGTAGACAGCGACGACCATCCGCGCGTCTACGGGTGCCTCTATAGGTCCCATAGCGGTAATGCCGAAACAGACCGACTCATCGACCACGTCCAAATGGCTACAGATTCCTTGCTACAACAGGTCCCATCCGCAGAGATCGTGATCCTTGGCGATTTTAACGCCCACCATGCCGAATGGCTCGGTTCACGTTTAACCGATCATGCGGGGAGATCTGTTTATGACTTTGCCTTGGCATATGGTCTGACACAACTGGTTACTTCGCCTACGCGGATTCCAGATGTGGAGGATCATACACCTTCCCTGTTGGACCTTCTGCTGACCTCTCATCCGGACGGATATCAGGTTTCCGTCGATGCCCCTCTCGGCTCTTCGGACCATTGTCTGATCCGGAGTATGGTGCCACTCACGCTCCCTTCGCGGTTGCGTTCTGCAGGTTGCCGCCGTGTTTGGCATTACAGGTCGGCGGATTGGGACGGAATGCGGTCTTTCTTTGCATCCTACCCATGGGGGCGGGTTTGCTTCTCGCCGGATGATCCCAGTGCTGTTGCTGACTCTGTCACTGATGTGGTGCTACAGGGAATGGAACTATTTATTCCATCATCTGTGGTACCCATCGGAGGCAGATCTCAGCCTTGGTTTGGTCGCTCCTGTAAGACTGCATTGCGCAGTAAGCAGGAGTGTTATCAAGCCTGGGCTGCAGCTTTGGTGACTCGGGATGTAAACACCAGCACACTTAAAAAGAAGTATAACTTCGCCTCCAGGTCCTTCAAAAGAGTTATTGCCAAGGCAAAGTCAGAGCACATAGGCAGAATTGGCGAGAAACTAGTTCGCCTTCCTTCGGGAACCCGTGCATTCTGGTCTCTCGCCAAGGCTGTCCAAGGGAATTTCTGTAAGCCATCACTACCATCTCTGCACAGGGAGGATGACTCACTGGCCCATGACGCAAAAGACAAAGCCGACCTTTTAGGCTCCCTTTTTGCGTCCAACTCGACTCTTGATGACGGGGGGAAAACACCGCCGACCATCCCGCGGTGTGAGTGCTCCATGCCGGATGTGCTGTTCTCACAGCGCTCGGTTCGCAAAGCACTGCTCTCCCTGGACATCCAGAAGTCGAGTGGGCCTGACGGAATCCCCCCAATTGTGCTGAGGACGTGTGCTCCGGAGTTGGCACCGGTCCTAACGCGTCTTTTCCGGTACTCCTACTCCCAAGGCGTAGTCCCGAATTCATGGAAGACAGCTTTTGTCCACCCGATCCCTAAAAAAGGCGACCGCTCAGACCCGTCCAACTATAGGCCAATCGCGATCACCTCCTTGTTCTCCAAAATAATGGAATCCATTATTAACTGCCAGCTCATCCGGTACCTTGAGGATCACCAGCTGATTAGTGACCGCCAATACGGTTTTCGTCGGTGTCGATCAGCTGGTGATCTTCTTGTCTACCTGACCCATAGATGGGCGGAGGCAGTAGAGTCCAAGGGGGAGGCGTTGGCCGTTAGTCTGGACATTGCGAAGGCCTTTGATCGGGTTTGGCACAAAGCGCTTCTTTCAAAGCTGCCTTCCTATGGGCTTCCCGAGAAATTGTGCAATTGGATCACCAGCTTTCTTGCAGATCGGAGCATCAAGGTCGTTGTAGACGGTGCATGTTCTGACTACAAGCCTATTAACGCTGGTGTTCCACAAGGCTGTGTGCTATCACCAACGCTGTTTCTTCTGCATATCAATGATATGTTGCTAACTGGTAACATTCATTGCTATGCGGATGACAGCACTGGTGATGCTCTATACACCGGCCGGGCCAATATTTCTCGGGAAAACGTCGCCGAGTACCGGAACAAACTTGTGTCTGAAGTCGAGTCTTTGCTGGACAAAGTCTCGGATTGGGGGCGACTAAATCTAGTCCAGTTTAATCCTCAGAAGACACAAGTTTGCGCGTTTACCGCTAAAAAGAACCCCTTTGTCGTATCTCCTCAGTTTCAAGG